GTTGTCATCAATTTCCGGTATCAAATTTCAATTATGAGCAGAATGACGTCATCAGGGCTACTTTTTATGTTCAGATTTCAACCCAAAAAGCGGAGAAAACGAAAAATTATAAGGTCACAAATCCTGGTGAATTGGATAGCCTTTGGGCCCTAGATAAAGGGTATTGGTGGATATTGTACATAGATAACAACATTTCGCTGGAAACCAGTGTCGACTTGTTTCACTATACGCACTGTACACATTTTGGTATACGAAGCAGTCGTACCTCGGGGTCTGCTCAGACTCACCACCGCGATTAACGGGTGTTTAGTATCGATATACAGCACATTCCCGCTTGCTGGGATGTACAGCTAGCCAATGCAACAGCTCTCATTCGCCAAAGACATTCCCCACGCTCCTCGTTTATGGATGAAGCTGTCATTGCTGTTTCAAAATAGCCACATTGTCTCCTACACATACTAATCACTGTGAAGCTACTTGAATGCATGCTACTGTGCTGTACATGTAGTGCATGCTGTGCTGTACATGTAGTGCATGCTGTGCTGTACATGTAGTGCATGTTGTGCTGTACATGTAGTGCATGCTGTGCTGTACATGTAGTGCATGCTGTGCTGTACATGTAGTGTATGCTGTGCTGTACATGTAGTGCATGCTGTGCTGTACATGTAGTGCATGCTGTGCTGTACATGTAGTGCATGCTACTGTGCTGTACATGTAGTGCATGCTGTGCTGTACATGTAGTGTATGCTGTGCTGTACATGTAGTGCATGCTGTGCTGTACATGTAGTGTATGCTGTGCTGTACATGTAGTGCATGCTGTGCTGTACATGTAGTGCATGCTACTGTGCTGTACATGTAGTGCATGCTGTGCTGTACATGTAGTGCATGCTGTGCTGTACATGTAGTGTATGCTATGCTGTACATGTAGTGTATGCTGTGCTGTACATGTAGTGCATGCTGTGCTGTACATGTAGTGTATGCTGTGCTGTACATGTAGTGCATGCTGTGCTGTACATGTAGTGCATGCTGTGCTGTACATGTAGTGCATGCTGTGCTGTACATGTAGTGCATGCTGTGCTGTACATGTAGTGCATGCTGTGCTGTACATGTAGTGTATGCTGTGCTGTACATGTAGTGCATGCTGTGCTGTACATGTAGTGCATGCTGTGCTGTACATGTAGTGCATGCTGTGCTGTACATGTAGTGCATGCTGTGCTGTACATGTAGTGCATGCTGTGCTGTACATGTAGTGCATGCTGTGCTGTACATGTAGTGCATGCTGTGCTGTACATGTAGTGTATGCTGTGCTGTACATGTAGTGCATGCTGTGCTGTACATGTAGTGCATGCTGTGCTGTACATGTAGTGCATGCTGTGCTGTACATGTAGTGCATGCTGTGCTGTACATGTAGTGCATGCTGTGCTGTACATGTAGTGTATGCTGTGCTGTACATGTAGTGCATGCTGTGCTGTACATGTAGTGCATGCTATGCTGTACATGTAGTGCATGCTGTGCTGTACATGTAATGCATGCTGTGCTGTACATGTAGTGCATGCTATGCTGTACATGTAGTGCATGCTGTGCTGTACATGTAGTGCATCACAACAGATGCACTGTAGATCTACCATGCATAAGAGCCAAGCATGTATGCACTTGAGTAGGGCACTAATTCCCACATAGGATTGCTGGTCACAACTGCAGTGCTGCCAAAATTTAATCATTTTCGCCCAAAATCGGACACCCGTCACCGCCAAGGCTGGCCACATGGTGCGAATTTTTCTATTTGGCAATTTTTTCAGAGAATTCAAAATATCCCCCAAAATACCATGAAAACTCGCTCCGTTGCCATGGTTACCAATTTGGCACCCCCCCCCCCCCAAGTTGTCATGAATGAATGTGGTCACACACTGCACAGTGTCATGTACTCAGGCATGTTACTCAACTCTCAAGTTTGCAATTCCACAGTCGGCCAAGCGCTAGCCCTTTTTCATGTACATATACATGTACATGTACATGTACATATATATGTACATGACTACAGCACTCGTACTACATGTAGTAGTACAGTGATGTGTGCCTTCAGTTACGCTGAAAAGTGAAAATGCAGGACTTCTGCATAGGAAAGTACTGATCCCTGATAATTGTGGCTGCTTTTCAGACGTTTCCTTTTTCGGACCGGTTTTCGGAAGAGCCTTCAAAAATCGGACACTGTCCGAAAAATCGGACGGTTTGGCAGCACTGCAACTGATTCTGTCCGCGACTGTGCTCGAGTCGTTGTGACTTGCAAGTACACTCTGTACTGTACAGTAAAGAAACAAGGCAAGTGCAGTTTTCAGTGCATGGACTCAGCTACTAAACATTTTGTGGAAGCAAACAAGCCTTTTTTATGATGTTGGTCATTTTTCTCAATCGACTCCGCGCTTTGAGCTAGATCAGAACACAGTAGATGTGTGCGTGGGGTATTGCCCAACTAGAACTGGAGTCCTCACGTGACCCAGGTCGCGCCGAGCTAATCACTTTTGTCAGCAGTACTCCTGCTCGCGACTCAACACATTTGCCGTAAAAGCCCGTGTATCGGCCCTAGGTGTATAGAATAGCAGCCTCGATTTCATGAGCGTATACAAGGGCACGGGCGTTATTTTGGAACCGGGCGTATACTGGGAATAGGGATGGCAGTAAGTATTGGGTA